GTCTGTAAGTTTCTTTCCGTACTTATTGAATTTTCTATACACAGAACCAAAGCTTCTATAGACCCTTGCAAATGTTGTATTCTATGGTAGTCGTTGTTTTCCAGTTGTCTTGAGACTTCTCTATTATTGGAAATTAATTATTTCAAATGATGGCATGATCTCATGACTCTGTTTACTTAAAACATTGTATAGCACTTGCTTTTTTTCCTTGAACTCAGGAGTTTATTTGGTTCAGAGTGAAGAAAGAAAATCACAGATATTGGTATTTGCTTGAAAATATACATTATTTTCTTTTTTTTTCTGTTTTTCATGTTGCTGAATCATGGTTGTTCTTGACCTTGTAGGCATTTATGTATGGGTTTTTTTTGTGTCAAAATTAAACCCTATCTGGAATTGAAACAAGTTAAAACAAATTTCAAAATTTAAATTCTTTCAAAAATACATTTTTTTTTTAAAATTAATATCTGGATGGGTGAGCCCTAAATGGTAGTATTCTGTCTTGATGATGATGTTGAGAAAAACAGAAGAATGTATAAACAACCTCTTACCATTTTTAAAATTGGGTATACCTACTGGTATACTTTTTTTTGTTTTGTTTTGTTCTTGTTCTCTTGGTCCAACTCTTGCTGAAGTAAAGGTTAATAGACTTCTTGATTTGGATTTAGTATTCTTTTACAATGGAATATATTTTCATAGTAAAGATTTTATACCCTAAAGAGATAAGAGCATTGTAAAAAATCTTACACTCATTATAGTGTTATGAGTTAAAAAAATAGCTTAGCACACCTTGTTTTCTTTGGATACAGATAAAGAATTCTTTTGAAATATTTTAACATTGTAATATTTATTATAGGGGAGGTAGAAACTGCTTTTATGTGTTACTTAATATTTTCTGTTTTCTAGGATTCCTGTGACTATTTGGTTTGTTTTTTGCAGTTCACCTCTTTTTTTTTTTCTTTTTTTTTTTTCTTTGACCTATGAAATTCTGTTTGGTTTTCTGTTCGTTTGTTTTTTTTTCTCAGGGTGAAAAGCAAACTCTAGTCCATAATTTGTGTTCCTCAGTAAGGAGGTACAGTGTAGTAAAATCATAAATAAATATGTTTTTTAAGACTGGACATGTGTTGCTGAAAGCTGTAGTAATGTTTGGATCAGAGAACAGACAAGAATTTGGTTGGACTTCTGATCTGGAAGGTAGCCCAAAACACCTATTTCTTTTGCTCCTTATGAGGCGAGGGAAACCATGTTGCAGAAGAGTTTTCCATCACTCCTCTCAGTCTTGTAAGATAGAAAATGGATCAGAATCGGGCTACCTAGGTTTGCTGCTGACTTCCAGGAGGAATTCGTTCCCCATTGGCTTTTCATTGTAGTAGCTTCAAATTTCTTAGAAGCAAGAGAAAGCTGGTCTGGAATGGATTGTGTTTCTCCCATCAAACCCTCTGGTCTATGGAAGGCAGTTCTCTCATTGTACGTGACAGTTTTTTAGCAGGTTCAGCTGGAAACGTGACCTCCTGTTGGCCAATGACTATCTTGTTCATTGGATGTGTAAGAGAATTAAAATGAGAAAGTATGGTCAGACAGCAACATTAGAATTCACTAGGTTTTGGTTGTGTAACTTCTGTATTTTAAATAGTGTTCCTTTTACTATCCTATCTAGAGATCATAGCTAGCTCTCTTAGCTGTTTGCATGTTATATTTTCAGATTTAGTCATTTGTGCCAAGGATCGGATTTTTGCATGCTGTATGTTCAGAGAGTATTTAACAAGTAGTAGAGGCAAACAGAATACAAAAACCAGTGCATCGTGATAAGTCCAGTGCTGCAGAACATAATAATTGCAGAGAGGAAGTCTTTGCAGCTGAAATGTGCACAAAGCCTGCCATGATCTTTTGAAATTCAGGGATATGTCAATTGAAAGTATCATTGTAATTGATGAATCACAGTGCGATGCTCATGAACTGACTCCAGAGGTTGAGAGAAGCTGCCACTATGAGATTTGGAGATGATCCAGGGGACAAGTGGAGTATTATTAAAGATTAGCTGACGGAAATATCATTCCCACCTGATTAGTCAACATGACATCTATGAAACTGTGGTACAGCTTGCAGTGTGGAGCCCTCCTCTCCAGTATTGTTATAAATTGGAGACTTTTCATATGGAGAAGGATTATTTTTAGACTGTGGGTGTGGGGTTGTTTTTGTTTTCGGATTTTGAGTTGTTTGGTTTGTTTTTTGTTTTTTTTTTAACAGCATATTAGGTTACTAAGGTTGCTTAAGGGCACTATCAAACCACTGAGCCTCTTAAGAGCTTTTAATGAACTCTTCTTTTTTCCTTTTTTTCTTTTTCCTTTTTGTCCATTTTTCAGACTTTGGGCATTAGGAATCCTGTTGCATTGTTCTAGTACATCTCAGTGCATTAGCTGC